AACTGCTGTGTTCTTTACTATGTTCTATAATTTTAGAAAGCACCATAACATTATTACTAGCCTACACTGGTTATCTATTTCCATCCTGTGATAACCACTAGTGTTATTCTTACCACAACAGCGATAAAAAGGATCCTCTGGACTGTTTCCAGGTCGTCAATGTATCTGCGCAGGAGACTCTGGGACTCCAGTCTCTCTGTGACGTACAGGTCTGAGAAACGGGACACCAGCCGCGCGTGCCGAGAGGAACTGGTGAGCTGTGCGCGTGTAGGAGACTCGCCCCTCACAGGGCTAACGGAGCGACTCCGGCGGGGAAGAGGACTAGGTGAACGGCTCCTGACCAATCTGGAAAGTCAAGTCAAGAGTCAAGAGAGTAAGCTAGGCTTGCTTAAGTCTCATTTGCACTAAGCAACGAGGTGTTTTCATGTCAAACGTACCTCTCCTGTAGAACAGTTTTTTCGGCGGTGAGAAATGAGATCTCGTCTCGTAGGATTCTGACCTGCCTCTCATAGTCATCAAGTACATCCAGCTTTCTCTTATACAGATCAACCTGATCTTGAGCAACTCGCAACCTGAAACAAATGCATAATTCAGTAATTTAACAAAAAATACATTTAAAATGTTATGTAGTATGGTTTAATCCACAAAGAGAAAAACAGACATTTAGACTAAAGTTCACCATCTCTGACTCACTCTGCCTTTAGATGTAGTATTTCATCCTCTGTGGCCAACAGGGTGGTTGCAGATTTATTCTTTGTGGAGTCCAGTTCAATCTGGGTGTCAGCAAGCCTGGAATCAAATAAACAATACAACTGACATTGATTGATTTGTATGGAGGAGTATAAAATGTAACACTGACTCTTAAGCATGTCTGTATTACAATGTATTGTGTAGGATCAGGGTGCAATTTGTCGGGGGTTAGGGTTCTGTTTATACGAGCCCTTAACTTTGCAGTCCAATTCACACTTTCATTTACATGTGCATTTATGTATTATGAACAAAACTTGAGTACGTATGCAGTGCCTCAGTCACCGTGTTCAGAACTGGAGAAAGCCACAGCTATAATATCACCGGAGCTTAGTATAACTGGTTTTAACCTTGATGACATAGCCAAAAAATCTGAAATATATGTCAGAATAGCTTATTATTTAGCAAAAATATTAGTAAATATCCAGTCTCCTCAAAATTGACCAGTTTGTAAAACATAATATCAAAATTAGAAAGATGTTAGAAAGGTGTTTACATGAAGGCTTTTCAGTCCGATTACTGACAGACTTTTTGGGTGCATGTAAACGTACTGTAGCTAGTAATTTTTTAATATTCCCCATACCTCTGTTTTTCAACAAATTGCACCCTGATTAGGATGTTGGTAATAAAGGAATAGAATTTTACAAAGAAATTCATACAGAATTCCTTATCCCTACTGACACTCTTAGCACCAACTATCTCATTTAGACTTGCTACTAGAATTGATACCGACTCCTGTTTAACTGTATCCAACTCCATACGTGTAGAACACAGCTTGTCTTCTATTTTCTGCATGTCGCTCTCATGAACTGAGGATAGTTCACGAATCTTCCGATCTTTCTCCATAGATTCCTGATTGGCACACACAAAAGTATACAAGCGCCAACACACAGATACACACACATGCATGCAGGTATGGGTACTCAGAATAGTTATTTCACTCATGAACACCACCATTAAACACAAAACACATACTGTTGGTTGCTAACATGTGGAACAAATGTTAAAGACAGCAGCAGAGGATTCTGGATATCCATCTGACCTGAATGAGGCTAAGGCTGGTATCTGTGGAGACAGATGAAGCTGCAATGGTGAAGCAAGAGCCAAGCCATGGCAAGAGGCGAGATTTCAGAGTGTCAACACCTGAATAATGTCCCCCTGAGGAAGAAAGAGGACAGAGAATCTGCTCGAATGTTATTGTTAAACGGTCAGCTAGAGGAAATAACCATGTGACATGCTAAAGGTGAATGAGATTATACTGTATTGAAATACTGAAAGTAAAGATAGGGGCAGGTCCATTTGTTACCTTCTTGTGCTGTAAGGTTGAGTATGGTGAACAATTGACCCTGAATTTTAGAGGTGAGCTCCACTAGCTCACAGCACCTATTCAGGTTCTGGTCACAAGAGAACACCTGTGAGAAAATATGACCAAAGGATGTTATAAGATGAGGTATAGCAAGTGAAGTAGCATTTGTGGAAACGCCCCCAAACTGCAACAATGGGCTGAATCGGATATGGCACTTCCTGATCAAGTAGTATGAAAACAATACCTTTTAATTTTTGGCATTGCAATAATGCATTGCTAATAGTGACAACTAGGTATAAAACAACTCATTCTGATATTCCAAATTCTTTATATGCAAACTTTGTATTCATGTTTAAAAAAATAAATAAAAAATATCAAGAATCAGGAGTCATAAAGTTACTTCATTTGACCCGAACAAAATGTGCCTTTTTAATTTTTTTTTTAATTTAAAACAATCAAACACCAAAACATTAACTTTTAACTTACAACTTAAAACAAAATGGCTTCTTTTCACACTTATTTTGACTTGGTGGACAAACTTACAAGTAAAATCGCTTCATATTTTAAAGAAATAGTAAAAGAGTATGTCAAACTACTACATTTCTCTTTTTTTAGGGTTAGGGTCCCTTATCAAGAGATGCCAACTAGACATTTTTGACCCACAAAAATATCCAAATTACTAAAAAACTAAAAAGATGTTTAGCATATAAAAAATAAATTAGGCTAATCTCTTCTCAACACATTCTATTTGACTTTCATTTCTTAACGTATTTTTTTTTTTTAGAATACATGAATGATAAATAAAATAAACTACGCTTCATTGACCCATGTGTGGTTAAAATCAAAGTCCCTATAGATTGTTAATTTTGAAGATAAAATGCCATTACACAAGAAGAGAGTATAAACTCATATATATGGACTCCCTCCATTCAAAAACACAAGCCTGACGGGAGCGCGCACGTTTGCTCTCAGCCAATCAGAAGTGCTCAGGAATGGAGTCCCAGTTGTCCTGACAACGAGCGTCCATAGAAACCAAACTCTGCCGCAAAAGCAATGTAATAAAGCAAATATTCCTACTCAGGTCTGTTGTTATAAAAGCACAATGCAGGACACTACTGCGCATATTAATTCAGGGTGCTTGGCAACTACTCCAGTATATTATGGCCATCTAACAACTGTAGTGAGTTGTGCAAAATTCCAACAGATGCATCTAAATAGTTTACATGTGGTGAAAACAGTCCCCAGACAGAATCTCAAATACCACAATCTGAAATCAGAGAATCCTAAATTTGTGCACTTGATATTATACACATACCTGACTAAACATAATGTAAAGTCTGTGACTATAGTAAACTACTATTGTGGTTGATCACAGACTAAGTGCAGCTTGAATTATTGATGACTTACATGATAGTCTTTGTACCAAGCTTCCAGCTTGTCCTGCAAAACACCATACGGAGATGAGTTGACCAGTCGTCGTAAAGTGTCAGCCATAGCTGCAGACCTGCTGCTGTAATCCTGCTTCAGGACGTCCCAGCGCACTTAATCCAGCAGCGCGGCTGCGCTCTTTGTATTTATACCGCTAGTAAAAGCCCACCATTCACTCCCTCGACTTCCACCGAAACCACGGACGCGCTTTTAGTTGTAGCAACGGTTTGCTAGACTTCACAGTTTGAGGAAATATAGCTGTATAAGCACAATGTGGACAGCCTAAACCATACGAGCTGTTTTTTTTAACACGGCATCTTATGTTACTCTCTGTCTGAAGGTGAAGCTCAGTTCTCAGTGATGAAATCTCACACTGTTAAGTGGGTGTCAGATGTCAAGTGCAGGAAGATCTTTATTTACATTCTCTTGAAGAACAGGTGAAATGCCCTAATTGATTTTCCATCATTTAACGTTATACCACGTGCCAAAGTTACAAGACTCTGTCCTGATCTCAAATTAAATACAAATAAATAATTTCAAGTATTGCATTGTAACTGTTGCATGACTTCATTTAATTATCCAGCAAGTGTGACCTAGTAAAACAAAGAGGTAACACATTGGTAAACACTAAAATAATTCAATAAACGTTAAATAAATAGCATTACTGCAACACAAAACACCCAAATGCACACATAACTGATCACTTTATATTTAAATAAATAAATAAACAGACTGTTTACGCAGGGAAATGTTACTTTTGCTATCAATAATGCTTTTGACTAATTAAAAACAATTTTAACAATATTTTACTGTAATCTCTGAAAATTCTGAGGTAATTCGTATACTTTAAAAAAAAAAAAAAAAAAAAAAGAATAATCTATCTAACTACAAGCAACAGCACAAATAAATACAATAGAGT